AGACTTTTTCACATGGATTCAAACCTACATGTACTTTTTCCTCTTATTTAAAAATTTATTTTGAAGGCTCAGCATTGTGGCATAGAGGGTAAAGCCTGTGCCTGCAATGCCAGCATCCCATATTGGTTCCAGTTTATGTCCCAGCTACTCCACTTGTGATCTAGCTCCTTGCTATTGGCCTGGGAAAAGTAGTGGAAGATGACCCAAGTGTTTTGGCCCCTGCCGCCCATACCCTGGCCTTTGTAACCATTTCGGAGTGAACCAGCAGATGGAAGATCTCTGTCTTTCTTCCTCTCTGTCTTTCTTTCAAACAAATCTTAAGGGAAAAAAAGATGCACTTATTTTGAAAGTTAGAGTTTCGGAGAGAGATGAAGCAACAGGAGAGAGATCTGCTAGTTGGCTGCATTGGCCAGAGTGGGCCAGACAGAAGCCAGGAGCCTGGAATAACATCGGGGTCACACGTGGTTAGCAGCAGCCCAAGCATTTAGGCAATCATCTGCTGGTTTCCCAGTCAAATCAGCAGGGGGCTCTGGATTGGAATTGGAACTTCCAGGATGCAGACTGGCATTCGTGTGGGTGCTGGTATCACAGGCTGCAACGTAAGCTGCTGCACCTGCCCTTGTGTACACCCTTACATTCGCACCATCCTTTGGCCTCTTCACCCTCCGACTCATTGTCTTTTTTCTTTTTTTTAAGATTTATTTATTCATTTGAAAGTCAGAGTTACACAGAGAAAGGAGAGGCAGAGAGAGAGAGAGAGAGGTCTTACATCCAATGGTTCTCTCCCCAATTGGCCGCAACGGCTGCGCCGATCAGGAGCCAGGAGCTTCTTCCGGGTCTCCCACGTGGGTGTAGGGGCCCAAGGACTTGGGCCATCTTCTACTGCTTTCCCAGGCCATAGTGGATCAGATGTGAAGCAGCTGGGTCTCGAACTGGCGCCCATATGGGATGCTAGCGCTTCAGGCCAGGTCATTAACCCACTGCTCCACAGCACCAGCCCCTTCATTCTCTTTCCCTTCTTTCCCCTGTATTGTTCTTCTCCACCTCCCCATCCCCACCCCAGGGGCCACCAGGTAGCAGGCTTTATTGGGGAAAGCACAAGGCTCAGGAGCTGGGAGCCCCAGGGGCTGCAGGGTCCTGGGCTGGCCAGAGCAGCGGCAGTGACAACAGCCATGGTGGCCACCCATGCCTCCTTCTTTGTTTCTCCTCCTTGAGGCAATTGCAGAACTGCTTCTCAAGGTCCTGTAGCAGGTGCTCCTTGGGTCCATGTGTTAGTCCAGGTGCTCCTGGGCCTCGGCCTGCAGCTGTGCCCTCCTCTCCTTGTCCACCTCCGCCTTCTCCCAGTGCTCCCGCTGCAGCTGCCACAAGTCCTCAGTTATCTGTGGCATCTTGGCCATGTGCTCTGCAATAAGCTGTTCTCTCTCCCGGACGCCACTGCTCCTCGGCCAGCTGCTGATTTCGCAGGGACTCCTGCATGGTCGCCAGGCTCGGGTACCATTCGCAGTTGCTCCTGCAACTGCAAACCGGGGGCCAACCCTGAGGCAGTGCCATGCCGTGTGAACTGCTTGGCCGCCTGGCACAGACCCAGCTGCCAGTGCAGGGTCAGCAGGTGTTCCAGGTTTGCCTCCCCTGAGCCCTGGTGGGCAGCACAGGCGCTGCCATCTTAGCCGCATAGGGTTCTCCCCTCTATTGTCTTGTCATAGTCCTCACGGGAAAGGCCACCTGAGCTCCTGTGCTTGATCCTAATGCTGTTATCTTCCCCTGCAGCACCAGTGGCATCCATAGTTTTTCTTTCCAATTAATTTTTTATTTAGAGAAAAAAAAGCTAAACAATGAGCATATTATTAAAGCCACAGCTTTGGCTTCTCCAGTAGCAGAGAGAAGAAATCATCAAATCATCGTTTCAGAAATGGCCTTATACAGTTTACCCAGGAACATCCAGCCTCCATATTAAACACCTGGTGATAGGTTCTGCCTTTGTCAACACATGCTGGTTTTGGACACTTACGATTATTTAGCTGAACCAAAACGTCAGGAAAGATTCCACTGTGGATATCACACTAAACATTGAATTTTTTTTTTAAGATTTATTTTATTTATTTGAAAGACAGACTTAGAGAGAGAGGTAGAGACAGGGAGAGAGGTCTTCCGTCTGCTGGTTCACTCCCCAGATGGCCACAACAGCCGGAGCTGAGCCGATCAGGAACCAGGAGCTTCTTCCGTGTCTCCCATGTAGGTGCATGGGCCATCCTCCGCTGCTTTCCCAGGTGTATTAAAAGGGAACTGGATCAGAAGTGGAGCAGCCGGGACTCAAACTGGCCCCCAAATGGGAAGCCATTGCTATAGGTGGAGGCTTAGACTTATACGCCACAGCGCTGGCTACCTTGTGTAACTCTTTAATATGCACATCATAGGTGTCTGTGTTTAGATATGAACTAAATAAACATGGCCACATTTAAGGAACATGGTGTAGGATAGGAAAGAAATAGGGTTGTGGGAGAGTAAACTTTTGTTTACTAGATTTTTTTTAAGATTTATTTATTTATTTGAAAGAGTTACACGGAAAGAGGAGAGACAGAGAGGTTCTCTGTCCACTGGTTCACTCCCCAATTGGCTGCAATGGCTGGAGCTGTGCCAATCCAAAGCCAGGAGCCAGGAGCTTCCTCCACGTCTACCTAGGGTGCAGGGACCCAAGGACTTGGGCCATCTTCCACTGCTTTCGCAAACCATAGCAGAGAGCTAGATTGGACATGGAACAGCCGGGACTTGAACCAGTGCCCATATGGGATGCTAGTGCTGCAGATGGCAGCTTCACCTGCTATGCCACAGTGCCGGCCCCTGTTTACTAGATATTTAGTAAGGTCATATGTTTGTTTTGCTATTGCCTGAAGAGAGTAGTAGAGTAGTTGGAGAGAAATAATAGCATTCTTACAGACACCTGTGTAAATTGGAAAATATGATCAGGAATTTAACAATGGAAGAGTACAAATCAAATTATAGTATCAACATTTATACAGGAAAGCTAGAGAAGACACAAGGAGAGACAGGGAAACATACTCATGGTCAATGGTAGGTAGAACAGATAAAAACAATTAAGAACTAAGAACATAAAGGCCTAAAAAGAATAATGTGGGTCTAACTACTTCATACTGAGCCCTGCACCCTCAAAACAGTGAATACCTCATTTTAAAAAGGCAATACTAGAAAAAATACTCTTTAGTCTTAAAACCACAATAAAAATACACAAATTATACATTCAGAAAAGAGGCTGCTACTGTACAAACTGAAAAAGATATTATTTCTTCAATCAAAAAGACCAATTCAGAATTTCAGAATGTGTTGAAAATACTGTATACATGAGAGCCATTGGGCTGTCATTCAGAGAAGGCTTTATAATCTCAAATGTTAAGCAAGAAAGAATGAAAATAGATGAATTAAGAGGTTAACTCAAGGGGCTGGTGTTGTGGCACAGTAGGTTAAGCTGCTGCCTGCAACACTGGCATCCGATAGGGTGCTGGTTCAAGTCCCAGCTTTCCCACTTCATCCAGCTCCCTGCTAATGTGCCTGGGAAGGCAGTGGAAGATGGTTCAGGTGCTTGGGCCCTGCCACCCACATGGGAAACCCAGATGAGGCTCCTGGCTCTTGGCTTTAGCTTGGCCCATCCTCAGCTGTTTAGGAAGTAAACTAGCGGATGGGAGAGATTCTCTCTCTCTGTCTCAGGTTCTCTAACTGCCACTCAGATAAATCCAACTGAAAAGGCTGGGTGTGTAGTGCAGTGGCTGGGATGCCAACATCCCATGTTGAAGTCCCTGGGCTCCAATCCCAACTCTACTCCTGATTCCAGCTTCCTGCTAATGCACACCCTGGGAGGCAGCATGTGGTGGCTCATGTAGTTGGATCCCTGGCTCCTGTGCATTTGTGGAATGAATAAGCAGATGGCAGCTCTTCCCTGCCTTTCAAGTCTCTCACCACCTCTCAAATAAATAATGTTTTTTAAAAAATCCAACTTGGGAAATGGCATTGTTTGGGCCCCTGCCACACAGGGGAGATGCAGGGGAAGCACCTGGCTCAGGCCTAGCCTAACCCTGGCTATTGCGGCCAATTGGGGAGTGAACCAGTGGAAGAAAGATCTCTCTTTCTCTCTCTCCATCTCCCTCTCCACCCCTTCCTCTCCCTCTCCCTCCCTCCCTTTTCTTTCAAAATAAATAAATCTTAAAAAAAAAAAAAAGTAGTAGCAGAATGAACAATAAAATAAACCTAAGGAAAACTCAAGGTAATAACAAGAACTTAAAATGGAGATTAAGGGACCAGCATTGTGGCATAGTGGGTAAACACTGCCTGCAGTGCCAGCATTTCCTATTGGCACTGGTTTCTGTCCCAGCTGCTCCACTTGCTCTCCAGCTCCCTGCTAACGGCCTGGGAAAGCAGTGGAAAATGGCGCCAAGTGCTTTGGCCCCTGCCGCTCATGTGGGAGACATAGATGAGGCTCTTGGCTCTTGGCTGAGGCCTGGCCCAGCCCCTGCTGTGGCAGCCATCTGGAGAGAGACCAAGTGGATGGAAGATCTCTGTCTCTCCCCTTCTCTTTAACTTTTCACATAAATAAATTTTTAAAAAAATATTAAAGTGCAGATTAGTAAATACAGGAAATACTAAATCCAAAAGCTGCTTGTCTAGGTGGGAAATGGAGAAGGTATATAAAAATAAGTAGCCAACCTAAGCAAAAAAAGAAGAAAATACTAAGAGATTTTGGAGAGAGAACTGTGAATCAGGGGGAGGAATATTCTCTGCTCTCTCTGCATCCACTCTCCAATTCACAACTTGGAAATCAGAGTGATCCTTTTTGTTGGTTGTAATTCTGACTTTTAAGTTATTTTTCTAAGCTGGTTTCCTCTCGGTGCCATCTATTTCATATAATGAATAGCACACTGTTGGATATTTGCATTGTCAAACTGTTTCTCTACATAAGTTGGGTCATTTAAATACCCTGCAAACTCTTTCAGAATTTACACCATCCTGGGATTGTAAACCTGGAATGTATGTTTGAAACCCCAGAACGAGTCTTTGTGGTAATGGAGAAGCTGCATGGAGATATGCTGGAAATGATTCTATCCAGTGAGAAAAGTCGGCTTCCAGAACGAATCACTAAATTCATGGTCACACAGGTATTTTAATTCTTTTTTGAACTAGAAAATTGGAATCTTAGAGAATTAAGCAGTTGTGCTTTTACAACCTGGGAGATTGTGGGAATTGTGAACCCTGAAAATAAATGAGCACCTGCAGCTGAATCCTGATGAATCGTGGTGGAATTTTCAGATTGCTGCACCGCTCACATGGAGTCGCACCGGGGTTTAACTATGATTTTTCTAGCCATTGAAAAATCTTTCTTTAATGACAGATACTTGTTGCTTTGAGGAATCTACATTTTAAGAATATTGTGCACTGTGATTTAAAGCCAGAAAATGTGCTGCTTGCATCTGCAGAGCCGTTTCCTCAGGTGAGATATCCTTGAGAACCTTTTGAAGAATCACTTTTGTCTAAATCTTTACTTTTACTTATTTGAAGGCAGAGTGACAGAGGAAGTAAGGGCAGAGAGACATAGAGTGTGATCTTCATCCTCTGGTTCAGCTCCTAAATGGCCACAATGGCCAGAGTCAGGCCAGGTTGAAGCCAGGACCTCGGAATTCCATCGTGGTCTCCCAAGTAGGTTGCAGGGACCCAAACACTTGGGCCGTGTTCTGCTGCCTTCCCAGGTGCACTAGCAGGCAACTGGATAGGAAGCCAAGCAGCCATGATTGAAACTGGGGCTCTGAAATGGGATGCCAGCATTAAAGCAAAGCGGCAGCTTAATCTGCTGTGCCATAATGCTGACTCATGAAGAATCAATATAATTATCTGACAACATTTATAAAGTATCCACCCATGGAACTTTGGCTTCAAAATGTGTACCCTCTTAAGAGATACAGTTTACAGCCTGCAGCTGCCTATGAGGATTAATAACTAACCATCCAGGTCTCCTACATCAGTGGTGGGGACCAAGCTCTTGGGCCATCCTCAACTGCATTCCCAGGCACATTAGCAGGAAGTGGGGCAGCCAGGGCTCGAACCGGCACCCTTATGGGATGCTAGCACCGTATGCAGGTGCTTAACCCACTATGCCAACACCATCTTTACTTTTTAATAAGTTAGCCTAAGTCTGTGCTTCTACTCTTCAAAGACTATTTGAAAGAGAGAAGCAGCCAGATTCACTGACGGCACAGAGCATTCAGAAAAGGATGTCAGAGTGCATGTCACCAAAATAGCAAGCAGCATCTGAATACACCTTGTGCTTCTTTGCTCTCCACTTGCTGTGCTTTTTAAAGATTTATTTTTATTTGAAAGTCAGAGTTATACAGAGAGAGAAGGAGGGGCGGAGAGAGAGAGAGAGAGAGGGAGGGAGGGAGGTCCTCCATCTACTGGTTTACTCCGCAAATGGCCACAACAGCCGGAGCTGCACCGATGCGGAGCCAGGAGCCAGGAGCTTCCTCCAGGTCTTCCCACGCGGGTGCAGGGGCTCAAGTACTTGGGCCATCTTCTGCTGCTTTCCCAGGCCATGACAGCGAGATTGGAAGTAGAGTAGCCAGGACTTGAACCAGCACCCATATGGGATGCTGATATTGTAGGTGGTGGCTTTAACCCACTATGCCACAGTGCTAGCCCCTCACTGTACTATTTTCTAGAAGCCAAATTCCTTAATTTATCTTAAAGTTTTTACAGAAGACATTTTTTGAATCATAACATTTCCTATGGAAAGTATTTGGCATTTGCTTTTCAGTATAGATCAATTTGTCACCAAAACCTTAACTTTTATAAAAGGGTAGCAAGATAGGGCCAGTATTGTGTACAGCAGTTTAAGCTGCCCTCTGTGTCAACAGTATCCCGTATCTTGGAGTTCATTTTGCCAGTTCATTTTGCCACTGCTCTGCTTCCAATCCAACTTCCTGCTAATGAGCCTGGGAAGACAGAAGGTAGCCCAAATACCATCTTCCATGAGGGAAACCTGGATGGAGTTCCTGGTGCCTGGCCTCAGCCTGGCCTAGCCCCAGCTATGGTGGTCATTTTAAAGAATGAACCAGTGGATAGACAATTAATCAGTCTCTTTCTATGGCTCACTCCTTCTCCACCTTTCAAATAAATATTTTTAATAGTACCTTTTTTTAAAGATTCATTTATTTGAGAGGTAAAGTTACAGAGAGATCTTCCATCCTCTGGTTCACTCCCTAAATGGCTGCAACAGCTGGAGCTGGGCTGATCCGAAGCCAGGAGCCAGGAGCTTCTTCCAGTCTCCCATGTGGGTGCAGAGGCCCAAGCACTTGGGCCATTCTGCTGCTTTCCTAGGCCATAGTAGAGAGCTAGAGCAGAAGAGCAGCCAGGACAGGAACCAGCACCCTTATGGGATGCCGGCACTGCAGGCGGAGGCTTAACTTACTACCATACAGCGCCAGCTTCACTAAATCTTTATTTTAAAAAAAAGTAGCAGGGGCCAGCACTGTGGCACAGCAGGTTAATACCCTGGCCTGAAGCACTGGCATCCCATATGGGCGCCAGTTCACTCCACTTTCAATCCAGCTCTCTGCTATGGCCTGGGAAAGCAGTACAAAATGGCCCAATTCTTTGGTCCCCTGCACTGATTTGTTCCACCTTCTTTCTTGGAGCATTCTCCAGCATTTCTCTCCTGGGGCCATTGTGCAGTTTCATTATCTACAAATGTATGAGATTCATAAAACGGCTGGCAAAGGGCAAGATGGGCATGTGCATAATATATGGTTTTAAATAAATAACAAAAATAACATTGTCCTTTGATTTCCAGGTGAAGCTATGTGACTTTGGATTTGCCCGCATCATTGGTGAAAAGTCATTTAGGAGATCCGTGGTGGGAACGCCAGCGTACCTAGCCCCTGAAGTTCTCAGGAGCAAGGGCTATAACCGTTCCCTAGATATGTGGTCAGTGGGAGTTATCGTCTATGTGAGCCTCAGTGGAACATTTCCTTTCAATGAGGATGAAGACATAAATGACCAAATCCAAAATGCTGCGTTTATGTACCCGCCAAATCCATGGAAAGAAATTTCTAGTGAAGGTAAGAAAAAAATTTGTTTTGGCTCTGTACTCTTCAGTCTATAAAAAGCCTTGTGATCCCAAATCAGCCTGTCTCTCCTGATTTCTCTTGTTAAGTTCTCCCACTCATCTTCCAAATTCGGCTAGTTCCCAGTTGTTGAACACTCTTTTCTATTGTCTTTTCAATCATTATCTTCCTTATAGTCCCCAGGTATAATCCATGATACTAATCTAGGCCCCAGCTGCCTCATTCTGGAGCTACTAAAATCTTTTTAACTATCCTGTCCATTAGATTCTTTTCGGTCCTTTCCAGTTGATCATGCCAAGTCCATCTTCAGGAAGCACTGCTTTTATTTTGTACCCAAACATTGGGCTTGCCTCCAACCACTGCAGCTATGGATGTCTGCTGCAGTCCAAAGTGAAGTTCCATAGCACCTCATCTCCCAGTGCGCCCCCACATAAACCTACTTGTGTTCTCTGTTCTGAACTGCTTTCTGCGTCTTGCTCAGGCCTTTTCCTCAGTTTATAACCCCTCCTCCTCAATACTGAAATCTTTCTAATTTTCAGCGACTCCTGAACTTGTGAAGTCTTCACTGACCACTGCTCTAAACCGAGCAGGATATACTTACGCTGACATTTTTCTTTAGGTGTTCTGTCTTTTGATAACTGACTTTTCTGATCTTCAGGACAAGATAGTAAGTTCCTCGCAGTCCTGCAGCTCAGGTTCTTTCCCCTTGGAATAAACTCTGTACCTAACAGACACCTCAGTTTGTTTTCATCTCTCATGTGGACTCTACTGGGAAGCTTCATACATTTATTTCCCCTGGCTGGTAAAGGCTTTTGAGTTTCAACTCCTCATTCTGTGCCCACCAAGAATGATTGGCTGGTCCTCTTTAGTTTACTGAGAGGAAGGAATTGTACACCACTTAAAACATTATTTAACAGTGTCATAGAATCCAATAGAGCCAATGCTGGGGAATACTCCAGCCTAGAATTAGCCAGCCTTTAGAACAAGCAGGGCTTTTTGTTTCTCCAGAAGTGTTGAGCCTAATCATAGCAGCTACCTGCACCATTTTCCCCTGCCTTCCCAGGCCATTACCAGGGAGCTAGACAGATCATAAGTGGAATAGCCAGGACACAAATGGGTACCCATATGGGATGCCAGCATCATAAGCAGTGGCCCAAACCTCTGCGCCACAACTCCAACTCCCTGATTGCATCTTTTTAATTTCATTTCACATATTAGAAAACAAAATTTAGTAACTGATCCCATATCAAGCAGTTAGGCAGCCTCAGAACCACATTTCAGCCTGGGCAGTCTGGCTCTAGTGTCTATATTTAACCTGTACTCCATATTGCCTTAATAAAGTAAAAGTCTGACAGGTACACTTAATTCAGGAAACATTTATGGATCACTGTATGTGTTAGCTTAAAGCCCATATAATTGAGAAATAAAAACCCCTCAACCTTATTTTCTGTGGATTGAACTGCCTTCTAGGCAGAGTCAAAGGTTTAGAATAGTTTATATACAGAAATGCACGTATCTGATTTTGTCTCTTTCCTTAGCAATCGATTTGATAAACAACCTGCTTCAAGTAAAGATGAGAAAACGTTACAGTGTTGACAAATCTCTTAGTCATCCTTGGCTACAGGTAAGGAAATACTTAAAATGTTTTTAGCCTTCCTAATTTGAACAATTCACGATGGTATTTTCCTAATGAAACCATTCTAAGACAACAGAGTCTATACGTTTCTTCAAATAATTTACATGCCTTTGCATGAGTGATTAACTTGTGATAGAGCCGAATCTCAAAGTAGCACAGCACATCATTCAAATCAGTACTGACAGGCAGTGCATCTGCCCTCACCTGAAAGCAGTCGCCTTGCCTTTCATAGAGCTTTAATGTGTTCATGGCAGCTTTTTGTGAGATTGGCATATTACTTTGCTAATTATATATTATTTTAAATGTTCACATTAAGGTTTATTTTTGTGTTGAAGTGATAACCTTTAATATTGCTAATTACAAATTACTGTATACTAAAATCTAGAAGTTTTCAGTTATTTGATTAGAGTGCTAAGTGGAAAAAAAAAAGTTGCCAATATTTTCTTTCTTTTATGGTTTGTAATTACTTCTTTTTTTTCCTAGGACTATCAGACTTGGCTTGACCTTAGAGAATTTGAAACACGCATTGGCGAGCGTTATATCACACATGAAAGTGATGATGCTCGCTGGGAAATACATGCATACACTCACAACCTTGTATACCCCAAGCACTTCATTATGGCTCCCAATCCAGATGATATGGAAGAAGATCCCTAACTACCAGTGAGCCAACTTCAGTAAAGCAACATTTCATTTTATGGACTAATACATTGCTTCCTAACTGTTGTTCTTTGTAGGCTGTCAATGTGCAAGAATGCAAAGACATGCAGACACAGGATAAGGAACTGGTGACAACAGGGCTTTAGTTCATAATGAAGAGGTACAGGAGGGGAACTAAGTAATAAAAACATATAATGGAATTAAGATGAAGCTTTTTATAAACTTTTGTAGCATAAGCAATAACTGGTTTTGTATTTTTTTCTAATTCTTCACTTTAATATAATAATGCCACTTAATTTATCTTCCCTTTCCTGTCATTTTTTTTTTAATAAAGGCAAGCTGGCATCCAGTTATTACATAGTTTGACCAAATCACAGAGTTGTAAGGTTTATTATAACTAAGCAGGTTTGTAATTAAGCAATAACTGTGAGGCTACCAATTGTGATTGACTATAAGGACTCATTGTGTAACCAACTTTAGAGAAAATGAAGGTTTTTCCTGGCTACCTAGTAAGAAAGTGCTGGATTATTCTGCCTTTTTTTTCTTTAGGTCAATCAAAACCCTGAAACAGTGATTCCTAACCTTTTTGGAGCTGCAACTCTGAAATGCTCTCTGTGGAGTAAGATTGTTACCTTTTGTGAGTGTGTTGCAGTACCCACCATGGTAATCTGGGACAAGTGATAGTACAGAACCTGGAGGAGGAACTAACTGCTGGTCCGAATGCTGAGTTTTAATGTGTCTCTTTTGATGGCTCAACTCTGCTGCTAACACTCATATTGTCAACTGATAGTGTCAGGATGCCACAACTGCTTTCCAACATTTAGTGGGTACAGGTCTACACATGAATTACACAATTCATCTTTACCCGGTATTAAACAATTTGAGAGAAAAAATTAAATACGTACTAAAAGGAAGGCTTGTACAGGGTCAATTAATGTTATGGTTACTGTATAGCAAATTGTATCTTTTTTTCTTCCCTTAGCCTACTGGAGGGCTTTCCAGATATCTGGAATGTTTCAATTATTTTAAGCAGTTGGGGGAATGAGTAGGGATGAATATGAAACAGGCTCCAAGGGTAGGGGCTATTTATGAATATTACGAGTATAGCAAGTAAGTGTTGCATCTTACATCTCAGCTCCAATAGCCAGCTATTTTAAACAGTTAGTACCAATATAGTTTGAGGATTCCTCTGAAGTGCTTGGGACCAGAAGTGGTTCAGATTTTGGAGTTTATATAATTGTGGAATATTTCCAGACTACCATTTGAGCATCCCTGATGTGAAAATCCAAACTCCCTAACATCTTAAGGGCCATGGCACTTTCAGATTTTCAGATTAGGGATTCTCAAACTGCATTTTCCCCCAAGGAAAATTTAAGATCTAGGACTGTCCACTTGTAAGAAAACTAGGGCTTTTTGTTTCTTTATTCCTCAATAATCATTATAAACCCTTTTTCTTCCTTCCCCAACCTCAAAGAGCAGAAATTCAGAATCAAAATCTGAGTTGAAGTCTTGGCTGCATTTGTATCAGCTACACTGGCCTGGGCAGATGACAGTCTGAGTCTCTAGTTTTCAGGCTGTAAAATGAAGATCTTAATTCTACCATTTCTTTCAGTGTAGTCATGAAAGTCAGATCTTCATTTCACAGCAGTCACGTGGGAATTACATTATGAACCTTATCCTAAAGATAAGGAAATGGAGATATAGTTTGGATATGGATTTGAACCCAGGCAGGATGGCGTCCAGGTCTCTCTACTCTCCTCATCATTCTGCTGTACTGTCTACCCGTAAACATTTCCAAGAGACGCTCTACATATCTAGGTAACTTGTTCTCATAGAGAAGATTAACCAAATTAATTTTGAAAAAAAAAAAAATGGAAATGTATTCCTCCTTTGTTAGAGAAGACTTCCCCACGTTTCTGCAATGTAAGTTTATGTCAGTGTGCCCAAATGAAGTAATTCTGAGTTACTAGGCAACCTACTGTGGTCTTACTGCATAAGGAAAAAACTAACTGGAATGATGTTCATTTGCTATACTTATGTAATCAAACTCTAAAGCCATGAAGTTAAATTGCACTCTTTTTTATTTTTATTATTGTTGAATACCTAAGAAGTTTTCTAAAAAATTTTGTAAAGGCACTGTCAATTTGGAGTTGAATAATGACTCTAGATGCTGTATAACCTGCATAACCTTTTGTCTTGAAGTCAAATTGTGTTTGTATAAGAAATAATTGTTTGCTAGAAACATTTGATAATGTACAAAGTAGTCTAAAGTGACACTGTCCAGTACATTTATATTTTTTTGTTACACCCCACTTTTTGTAAATATCCTCAAAGAAGCTTGATAATAAAATGTATTTCTGTATCACCATACTTGTCCATGTGAAAACCTGAGCCCGTCTCTAGTAGAGGTATCCAAAGAAAATTCTGGTTAGTTGGTTATTTTTCCAGGCCCTAATAACAGAACTATTTCTGAAATAATATTTGTAAATGGAATTAATGCTATATTTAAGAACACTGATTTTTTTAACCTATCAAAAAACTTTGAAATTTTATTATAATTTTATATTAAATTTGAAGTGATTATCTGGAGGTCTTATTTCTCAGAATGAAAGTTAGAATAATTATGACTACACATTTTTTAGAACTACAACAAGATATAGTTTAATCTTCCAGATTTTAAGAAATAAGGTACTGCCTTCTCAATTTTAAAAACTATTATGCATTAGAAAGGGGCCAACTGTGGGCATTTTTATCTTTCAGAAATTCTCCACATTAAGTCTTGAAAGAAGGAAATATTGGGGCTGGCGCCACGGCTCACTTGGTTAATTCTCCGCCTGCGGTGCCAGCATCCCATGTGGGCACCGGATTCTAGTCCCGGTTGCCCCTCTTCCAGGCCAGCTCTCTGCTGTGGCCAGGGAGGGCAGTGGAGGATGGCCCAAGTGCTTGGGCCCTGCACCCCATGGGAGACCAGGAGAAGCACTTGGCTCCTGGCTTCAGACTGGCGCAGTGCCAGCCATGGCGGCCATTTGGGGGGGTGAACCAATAGAAGAAGGAAGACCTTTCTCTCTGTCTCTGTCTGACTCTACCTGTCAAATAAAAAAAAAGAAAGAAATACAGAAACAGTAAAAGTGCCCAGAGACAGTCTCAAACTGGGCAGCATCAGAACTGGAAGCCTCTGTCCTTTTCTTTAGAGTGAGGATCGGACCGCTAATCCTGTTCTCAGTGAAGCAGAAGCAGCAATAAAAAGCAGTGGTTTATCACTCTGCCTGTGAGTCTCCAATACAGCTGACATAAATTCAAAATACTTGGCTAGTATTTTTTTCTTTAACATCCCTTGTGAATTTCATTTTTATTTAATACATTTGAGCTCTCTTCTCTGCTGGCTCATTCCTCAGATGCCCCCAGTAGCTGGGGCTGGGCTGGGCTGAAGCTGGGCACTGAGAACTCAATCTGGGTCTCCCAGTTGTCTGCCAGGGATCCGAACACCAGAGCCATCACCTGCTGCCTCCCACAGTGCATATTAGCAGAACGCTGGAATTAGCAGACCTGAGGGGCTGGTGCTGTGGCACAACAAGTAAAGCCACCGCCTGCAGCACCGGCATCCCTTATGTGCACCGGTTCAAGTCCTGGCTGTTCCACTTCCGATCCAGCTCTCCACTATGACCTGGGAAAGCAGCAGAAGATGGCCCAAGTCCCTGGTCCCCTAAATGGAAGACCCGGAAGAAGCTCCTGGCTTCGGATCGGTGCAGCTCTGGAAGTGGCATCTTAGCCCAGTGTGCCACAACGCTGCCCATTTGCTGCTAAAAAGAAAAAAGCAGAGCTGGCACTGGAACACAGGCACCCTGATAGGCAATGTGACCGTTCCAAGTGGTCCTTCCTGCTGTGCCAAATACCTGCCTCTCCCTTTTAAATGTATGCTGCTAATTAACAATTTCTCAGAAAGTCCCTGTCTTCACTATTAATATAAAAGTTCTAAGAAACCCAAAGAAAACAGAACACTTTACCTTCATCTAAAAATAAGGGTATTAGCTCAATTTAGAAAATTATTTCTAATGGCTGGGCATTTGCCTAGCAGTAAGGGAACCGTGGTTCAGTAGCAGAGTACCTGGGTTTGCTTCTTGGCTCAGGCTCCTGATCCCATCTGCTGCTAATGACAACCCTGAGAGGCAGCAGTGATGGTTCAATAATTGTGTCTCTGCGCCCACACGGGAAACCTGCGATGAGTTGCTGGCTCCCAGCTTCCTGCTCCAGCCTGTTCCCAGGCCACTGAGGCATTTGGGGAGTGAACCCAGTGGATGGGAATATGCTCTGTCTCTGACTCTCAAATATTTTTTTTTTAATTTTTAAAATTATTCTTCCTAGATAGTCTACACTTAACTTTTCCTATGTTGAGTACATGTCATGTCCATGATGTGGTTTTTTTTAATTGTGACTTTCATAGCAAGTTTTTAAATCTAATTTTTACTTGTAAAATTCACAAAAGTATTGGGTTAAAAATCCCCACATTGAGAATTGGATAGTGATCATGTGGCAGCTTTTCCTTACTTTTTGTATACAAGTATGTATCATAGAACAGAAGAACCACCGTTATGCAGTGGAGTACAGGTTTCCAGGGAATCACTTCATATTTACTGAAATGTAGCCTTCCTCCCTCAACAAAAATGGAGTGCTAACTAGAAATCTCTGAGCTTCATTTTACTTATTAAATCTCAGAGATCCTTCTATATCAGAATAAACTACTCAATCTTTAATCAAGTATAGATCCTTCAAATCAGTCCCCTGTAAACAGCCATTTAGGTCATTTCTTTTTCTTTTTCTTTTTTTATTTGACAGGTAGAGTTATAGACAGAGACAGACAGAAAGGTCTTCCTTCCATTGGTTCACTCCCCAAATGGCTGCTATGGCCAACGCTGCGCTGATCTGAAGCCAGGAGTCAGGCGTTTCCTCCTGGTCTCCCATGCAGGTGCAGGGCCCAAGCACTTGGGCCATCCTCCACTGCACTCCCCGGCCACAGCAGAAAGCTGGCCTGGAAGAGGGGCAACCGGGACAGAATCCGGTGCCCATATGGGATGCTGGCACCGCAGGCAGAGGGTTAACCACGGCGCCAGCCTCCATTTAAGTCACTTCTAATTTTTGTTAAATCATTCTCAGCTCGTAGATGTTTTTAAAAATAGAAGAAATACAGCAACTAGCTTTACTAAAGGAAACTCATTTTCACAATTATTGCATTTAATCAAGAACATATATTTGTACGAAGACTTGGTCACAACCCTAAAACTTTTCTAACTTCGTATTACACACAACATGGGATACTTTTATTGGCAGTGAAGAGGTAAACCACCACTGTGTCAGCTGCAGTGTAGGAAATGTGCTCCCTTTATTCTGAGTTCTTGGGCAGACTGAGGGGTAACAAGGCCAATCTGAAGCATCACCTCCAAGCAAGGTCAGCAAAGCCAGCCACAGGCGCCACAGAGGGTCTTGACGGCCGTGCTTCTGTCTGGTGACTTCCACCACGGAGTCTCTGATGAGGCAGCAGCGCAAAAAAGTGAAATCTTTCTCCCATCTTCTTAGGGTTCATGAGCATATCATATCCCTGAAGTAACTGTTCCCTAACTGAAGGCTCGTGTGATTTATCTGCAAGAATCTGAAAAGAAAACCTGACTCAGCAAAAAGATTGAGTAGAAGAGAGTGCCAGTTACATGTAGCAGTGCAGATGAGTCCGGTACCCCAGTGAGGCAGTGCTCACAATGGGATTCCTACTTACCTACCTAAGGATCAGGGGTACTTACTGAAAACTGCAGTTTGCTGCGATTTGCATTTTTAACCAATAGTCCCAAATGGTTTGATGTCCAAGAAGGTTTAAGTATTTTTGGAAGAGCCTTAGAAAATTCATAGCCATGAGTATGATTTTTTTAGTAAACAGGAACACTATTTGAAGTGTTAATTCTCTCTCATGGAGAATCGCCAGGCTGTGCCACCCTCCAGCTGTCTGGTCACAAACTCCTGCACTACTTACTGAAAAGCTTGGAGCACAAAGCATCTGGCCAAAGGAACCTTAGGGCCGGCTGACCTTACTGTTTAGAGTCATTTTCAAAACACTATGAAAAATATTAATGAGAGTGACGTATACCTTCAGCCGAACATCAATGCCCATATTTTTTAAAAATGTTTGTTGTGTTATTGGGCCCAGCGAGGCTACTTGTCCTTGTGCCATTCTGCGCAGGTAACTGAAGTCCACGTCAGCTGTTAGGTCTGCCATTCCTGGGGCGATCAACACATCATGCAGCTTGTGGCCACAGAATCCCTGCAACACAGAGAAAGGCATTCCTACCCTTTTATGGTTACCACTCGCAAGGTTAGACACACACTATCGTGTTAGCACATCTTTACGCGGCAGCTCCTAACAAGGAACACATGGCCTAACCCTGTGATTCACAATAGACACTACACAGGAGCACCTTTTCAAGTAAGATGCTGTGTGGAAAATCAGATATAAAGTAGACAGTTGGGGTGGCAACAGATACTGCCCTTCACATTATTTAACATTTTCACTGAAGATTGTGGTGCTGAATGACACCTTATTCTCGGATGGGCAGGTTATCAGAGTCTCAGCCGTGTTTTACAGAGGATCTCCATCAGCCACGTGTGTCTGAATCGCCTGGTGTTACTGGACTCCACCCAGACGTGATCAGTCAAAATCCTGGAGGTGAGCTAGGGAATTGCATATAACAAACGCTCCAGGTTGCTTTGAGATACAATAAACTCATAAATTCAGAACCACCACATGCAGAAAATGACTAGTAGCAAATAGTTAAATGCGTTTCAGTCAAGTAGCTGTATAACTGAACAGAACTGACTGAAGAACATTAAGAATCCATGTTTAGGAAAGGTAAAAATACATTTCAAGAGAAAGATCTATCAAAAATGTGATTTAAAAAGTCTGACTACTACAGCTAGGTTAACTGCAGATAAGTATCAAGAAAACCTCTGAATGTAGACAATGCAGAAAAGTTTAAGAAACTGAAGACCTCTTTCCCTTTGTATTATTCTGGTATGTCTTCAATGAGGGGCGGGCGTTTTGGCACAGGTTAGGCCTCCACTTGGGATGCCAGCATCCCATATCAGAGTGCCAGTTACCTCCCACTTCTAATCCAGCTCCCTGCTAATGCACTTGGGAGAGCAGCAAAAGATGGCTCAAAACTGTGGGCCCCTGCCACTCACATGCGTGACTGGGATGGGCTCCAGGCTCCTGGCTTCGGCCTGGCCCAGTCCCGGCTGTTGCAGCCATCTGGGGAATGAGTCAGCAGATGAAGACGTGTCTCTCCACACTGCCCCCTTCTCTGTCCCTCTGCCTTGAAAATAGAATAAGTTTTTGTTTTTTTTTTTTTTTTTTTTTTTTTTTTAATCCTCAATGAGATTCCCTCTAGCAATGAAATCCTTATAAAGCAAGTAACTGAGTTACACATACTCTGAAGGTATCCGTCTTTGTTCCATCATGGCCGTAATCAGCAATCAGCGCAGCACCTCCAGTCAGTGCAATACGTTGAGAAAGTTCCTGAATGACGACACCGGCGTCAGGACACACTTCAACGTGATCCCTTTTTTCATCGTGCTGGTAAAGGAACAGTTGAAAGAGTCAAAACAAATCCTGTCAAAGAAATGCTACTTCAGGGATTCTTGGCTCTGTCTACAATAAGCATTTCTGAGTTACAATAAAAATAAATGCCTTCTCAACATACTCATGTTCTCTACACTCATGGGCATCCGTTTTCTGAAACAGAACTCCTGGGTCGTTTGACGCTGTTCACTAAATTTACAAAGACATGTTGATCTATTTAATAAAAAAGATGCATGCCTTCCGAAACCCCAGAAACCCAAGAACATTATCACTTCATTTATGTAAAATTACTTAGTTATGGTAAGTCTTATAAATACATGCCACTGGGTTTAAAACATGGAAAAAAATATTTTTATTTTGCCAAGAACAGTGCCTGGCACATAACAGGCACTTTTAAAATTGTCAGAGTTCCAGGCTCCTGCCTTCAGCCTGGCCCAGCCCTGGCCATTGTAGCCATTTGGGAAGTGAACCAGCAGATGGATGGTATCTCTCCCTCTCTACTCTCTTCCAAATAAATAAATCTTTAAAAAAAGAAATGGTGCTAGGAGGGCCAGCACTCTGATGCAGGGGGCTAAGCTGCTGCCTGGAATGCTGGCGTCCCATATCTAAGCATCAGTTCGAGTTCCAGTTGCCCTACTTCCAGGCCGTGTCCCTGCTAATATGCCTGTGAGGCAGCATATAATGGCCCAAGTAGTTTTTTAGTTCCTGTCTCCCTGGCTGCTGAAGCCATCTGGGAAGTGAACAACTAGATGGAAAATCTGTCTCTCACTCTGTCACTCTATCAACAAACCAAAAAAATTGTGCTGAGAAGCAGCAACTGGTGCAGTGGTTAGCACGTCACTTGGGATATCCCATACTGAGTCTCAGCTCTGCTGCCTATCACAGCTTCCTGCTAATGTGTACCCTGGAAGGCAGAAGATGATGGCTCAAGAACTCGGGTCCCTGCCACACACATGGGAGATCTGCATCCAAATCTGGGCTCCAAACTGCAGCCTGGCCCAGCCCCAGCTGTTGCAGGCACTTAGTGAACTAGCAGATGAAAGATCTCCCCAACCCTACCCTACCTTTCAAATAAAATGAAAACTTTACAAAGAAACAGATTTCGGGGCCAACATTGTGGTGTAGTGGGTAGAGCTGCCGCCTGCAGTGCTGGCATCCCATATGGGCACCAGTTCAAGACCTGGCTGTTCCACTTCCGATCCAGCTCTCTGCTATGGCCTGGGAAAGCAGTGGAAGATGGCCCAAGTCCTGGCTCCTGGCTTCAGATTGGCACAGCTCAGGCCTTTGTGGCCACGTGGGGAGTGAACCAGCGGATGGAAGACCTCTCTCTCTGCCTCTCCTCTCTGTGTGTAACTCTTTCAAGTAAATAAATTAAAAAAAATATAGACTTCTAAAAAATTATGCTGAAAGACTAAATGATATAAATCCAACATAACAAAACAGACCCTATTAAGTATATTATGAAGCCATCTGTTGGGACACAAAGTCTCCCAGCAACAGGACGTGTATCCAGAAACATCAGCTAACAAACAGGTGCCAATGTACCTGAGAGCTTTATTAGCCAATACGTTCAACTATTAAGTAAAATGTAAAATGACAACACGTATCAACTTGACTGGTGTACTTCTGGTCCCTCTTACCCCTCTACTAACATGAACTAATGACTCGCCCTCATGTTTCTGCCTAGCACGGCACAGACTCACACAACAGGTGCAGAGTCCGATTCAGAGTCGGATCTCGGCTTATTAGGAGATGAAGTCACTTAACCTTCCTGGCTGTTTCTTTATACTTACATGTGTCAATTGTGAGGATTAAATAAAGTAATAACCACTTAACCTCTAGTGCTGTTAAACAAATGACTGCGGTTTCACATGAGAACCATGAGTCCGCTTCCTGAGGCCAGGCTCCCTCTCATCGCAGCCTGCTCTGCACCGAGGTGCCAGGCTGTGCTACCACTCGCCCCACCCACAGAAAGGGGGACGTCCCTCCCTCCTACGTCAGTGCTCATCACATCCGAGTTTACAAAGAATCCTAACTCCCAGGCCCAGGCACTCAGCTCTTAGTAGCTCTATGAATTTGTCAATTAGGTATTGAGAATATGACAAAATAAAAGCATTGATGTTTTAACCTGATAACTTATACTTTGCAGAAAAAATTTAATGCATAGGCTTCGCAAGCTTTTAAAAATGGCTAACTTTTGAGAAGTTCTTAGTTACAGCTCAAAAAGTAGAAATCTTTGAGCTGGAAAAAAAAAAGGTATAGAGGCAGGAACCACAGCACTGGCATCCTACATAGGCCCTGGTTCAAGTCCCAGCTGCTCCACTTCTGATCCAGCTCCCTGCTAATGCACCAGGGAAAGCAGCAGAGGATGGCCCAAGTGCTTGGGCCCCTGTACCCATGTGGGAGACCTAGAGGAAGCTCCTGGCTCCTGGCTTTGGACCAGCCCAGTCCCTGCCATTGCAGCCATTTGCGAATGAAACCAGAAGATGGAAGACCTCTCTGTCTCTCCCTCACTCTATCTCTGCCTTTCACATAAATAAATATTCTTTAAAAAGGACTAGTATCACTTCCATCTTAACCATCCTTTACAAAATTTTAATTGAAAACAAACAAAAAAATGCTCACTACACTTAAATACTTTTAAAAACACAGTATAAAAAGCAGGCAATCCAAGGCCCAAACATTCCTGAGAAATACACGTTTTTTCCTGAATCTTTAAACAACCAGGATGGGCATCTGGTGCAACAGGTAGGGCACCAGTTGGGACCCTCGCATCACATACTGGAGTGCCTGGGTTCGAGTCCTGGTCCCGCTTCCAATTCCAGCTTCCTACTAATGAAGACTCTAGAAGACAGTAGTGACAGCTCAAATAACCGGTTATTGCCACCCACATGATCAGGTTCAATGCTCCTGGCTTCAACCTGGCCCAGCCCTGGCTATTGGAGGCATCTGGGGAGTAGACCTGCACATAGAAGATCTCTGTCTCTGTGTCTTTCAAATAAGTAATAGATACAACACCAAAGTGCACAGGCTCTTGTGATCATTCCTCGAAACCCATAGAAAGCAGTCAAGAATCAAATTTAGACCCGGGTGGAAGCATGGGAAAGAAGGCACACTCCGGCCCAAGGACAGCAGTGGTGATGAAACTTAACAGTTGTTTTGAGAATGATAAAATACAGAGTAACACATGCAAACTGTTACCAGCTGCCAGCGTTACTTTACTACAGTCTGTGCTAGCCTGCTCCCACAGACGTCACACTCTTCCCACCAAGTGGACAACATTACCGCCACCCGACAGTCTGGAAGCAGAGCAGGCACCGACTCTGCTGAGTGGGAGCTGACTGATTTTCCGTCGTTACATGACATCAAGGCCACACACTTAAGACATGATTGTAACCCATTTTCTTCGCTCTAGATCCTCTGCACTTTTCACTATCAATAAAAACTTCTTGGGGCCGCCGCCTGCAGTACCAGCTTCCCATGTGGGCACCGGTTCAAGTCCCGGCTGCTCCTCTTCCAACCCAGCTCTCTGCTGTGGCCTGAGAAAGCAGATGATGGCCCAAGTCCGTGGGCCACTGCACCGTGTGGGAGACCCGCAAGAAGCTCCTGGCTTCAGATCAGTCCAGCTTCAGCTGTCGTGGCAATTTGGAGAGTGAACCAGCAGATGAAACACCTCTCTCTCTGTCTCTATAACCCTGCTTTTCTAATAAATAAATAAATCTTTAAAAAATAAATAAAAACCACTCATCTGTTCCTAGCAACTCTGCCTGTAAGGGGACTGTAAAACAGTAACTCAGAAATCAGACTTGGAAGATTATTAGCAATAAAAGAAACAGAGAAAAAAAACTGTATTCCTACGTGTATGAAGGCTTCTGCTGGGGTGGCACAAGGCGCCAAGACAAACCTCAGTTTATCAGAAACTTGCGGATCAGTATCGATGAGCACTTCTCGCCATCCTTGTGGAGTTTTCTAAACAACAAAACACATTTTTGTAAGTTCTCAAAATCGCCTCTACCAAAAATAACTATTAGCTTTCTCCTCAGAAAATCAGTAGCAGATACATGTAGAAGAACAAACACCTCACTGTGTAAAACCTCAAATGCTTCACTGCATTTCCTTGGAACGACTCTGAGCAGACGGCAGGTGTGCACTGCTGATGCATGAGAAACAGTAACGGAGCAGGCGATGAGAAAAAGCAAGGAGCATGGGCAGGGCCTCCCAAACGGAAATGAACCAGGAGCTGACTACCACACGCTTGTGAACACACGAGTGCACCTCGGTGAGAACTGCTCTGAGCCACAGGAGTTAACAGCAGGCAGAGGCCGGCACCGCGGCTCAGTAGGCTAATCCTCCGCCTGTGGCGCCGGCACACCGGGTTCTAGTCCCGGTCGGGGCGACGGATTCTGTCCCGGTTGCCCCTCTTCCAGGCCAGCTCTCTGCTGTGGCCAGGGAGTGCAGTGGAGGATGGCCCAGGTGCTTGGGCCCTGCACCCCATGGGAGACCAGGAGAAGCACCTGGCTCCTGGCTTCGGATCGGCACAGCGCAGGCCTTAGCGGCCATTTGGGAGGTGAACCAACAGAAAAAAGGAAGATCTTTCTCTCTCTCTAACTCTGTTTGTAAAAAAAAAAAAAAAAAAAAAAAACACAGTAGGCAGAAATATACTGCCACCAAACCTTAAATTTCCTCTCACAAAGAACAAAGAAAAATTCTGATCTTTGGAATCTTAAAATTTTGCTAAAAGGAATCCTTTACTACCCATACAACCCCTTAGCACCTTCCATTCCCCCACTTCATCCCAGAAGAACTAAGAATTCTTTCTTTTTTATTTAATTTTTTTTTTTTTTTTTTGACAGGCAGAGTGGACAGTGAGAGAGAGAGATAGAGAGAAAGGTCTTCCTTTGCCGTTGGTTCACCCTCCAATGGCCGTCACGGCCGGCGCACCGCGCTGATCTGATGGCAGGAGCCAGGTGCTTCTCCTGGTCTCCCATAGGGTGCAGGGCCCAAGCACTTGGGCCATCCTCCACTGCACTCCCGGGCCACAGCAGAGAGCTGGCCTGGAAGAGGGGCAACTGGGACAGAATCTGGCGCCCCGACCGGGACTAGAACCCGGTGTGCCAGCGCCGCAAGGCAGAGGATTAGCCTAGTGAGCTGCGGGGCCGGCCAAGAATTCTTAACCATCAGGGTGATCTAGTCGAACGTTGAGACATATGCCTCCCACATTGGACTACCTGGGCTCAGCCCAGGCTCTGGCTCCTGATCCCACCTGCCTGCTCACGTTGACCCTGGGGAGAGGTGATGGTTAAAGTAACTGGGTCCCTGACACATCCACATGGGAGGTCTAGATTGAATTCCCAGCTTCCAGCTTTGGCTGTTGCAGGAAATTGGAGAGTGAATCAGCAGATGGGAGAGATGTGTGTGTCTCTCTCTCTCTCAAATTTTTCTTTTATTCTAAATAATTCCCCCAGAAACATTAACAATTTAATATTTTTGTTTTTCAATCATTTGTTAATCAAATAAAGGTTAAAAATAATCTTAATAAACAATGTTCACAGACCAAGTAAATACATGTGCATTCTTGCAACTGCAGGCCTTTTGTTACTCAATTAAAAACTTGAGGGGCCGGTGCTGTGGCACAGCATATTAAAGCCCTGGCCTAAGGCACCGGCATCCTCTATGGGTGCCAGTTCTAGTCCTGGCTGCTCCTCTTCCAATCCAGCTCTCTGCTATGGCCTGGGGAAGCAGTAGAAGATGGCCCAAGTCCTTTGGCCCCTGCACCCATGTGGGATACCCAGAAAAAGTTCCTGGCTCCTGGTTTTGGATAGCACAGCTCCGGCTGTTGCGGCCATCTGGGGAGTGAACCAGTGGATGGAAGACCTCTCTAACTTTCTCTGTAACTCTTTCAAATAAATAAAATAAATCTTTTTTAAAAAAATACTTGAGGTTTTTCTCCAATACCTGAAACTTATGCACAGGAAGAACATCGAAGAATTCATGTGCAAGATAAAAGCTGTATCCTATTTTAAAAGAGAAGAAAATAATCAATGTTTCAGCATCTTAAAATTCTTTTCAACTATAAAAAATAAACTGCCTAGCTCAATACTGTGACCTGTGATGCTTCCATTATCATCACTACCACAGAATTCTCCTCTTTGTGGAAACCTACTCTGTAGAGCACATGATGAGTTATGATTGTTCTCATTCTTCATGTAACAGAGAACTGAAATACTGGAGTATCAGTTAAATCTTTTAGTCAGTGCTAACTCAAAGAAATCAGAACTCAAATGTGTTACCTGCAAGAGAATCTGAATTTCTTAAAATTATCTAGAAAGCTTTAGGTGCCTTGCTGCAGATCATATCTCCACTTTAAGTCTCAGCCAGGGGGGCCGGCGCTGTGGCGTAGCGGGTAAAGCTGCCATCTGCAGCGCCAGCATCCTACTTGGGTGCCGGTTCAGCTGCTCCACTTCCGATCCAGCTCCCTCTAACGCAATGCCCTGGGAAAGCAGTGGAAGATGGCCTAAGTGCTTGAGCCTACCAGCAGATAGAAGACCTCTCTCTTTTTCTCTAACTCAGCCTTTCAAATACATTAAAATGAATCTTGAAAAAAACAAAAGTTTCAGCCAGGCCTCTCTAAAAGGAGATGCACAGCAGCGCAGGATTTTATCACCACACCCTGCGAGCCTTTAGGCAAGAAAGGACTTTGAAGATGAAATGATTAAACTATGCCTGTCAACCAACGCCCTGCCTTCAGCCCCAGCTGCGCTGAGCTGCCGCCTCATCATCAGGACCACCTCGGCCCAAGGGAAATGCTGGCACTTATAGTGGAGATCCACACGAAACACACTGCTCCTGCATGTCAGGCTAGGCCAGCTTCTACTACAATGCTGTTTCTACAAAAATAATTACTCTAGGATAAGGGAATTGGCAACAGTAACCCAAAGTAAAAGGTTATGGTTATCTATCACTACCGTTAGGGGCTGTGATTAAAATTCTTCCACTAGTCAATGTAATTACCTTTTGGGACATCTTGCAGATTTCGGTACCAGCAAACTGGAATCCCAGTCTTAGAAACACCTTTCATGTACACTGGGGAGTCAGCATTCCGCTCTAACGGGACCTTCTCTTCAGTCAGCGTCACTGCTTGAATCTCACTTAGTTTTTGGCTCACCTCCACCAGATGTATGGAAATGTCACAGTTTTTCAACACAGATCCAAGCTGATTAAACACCTAGTTACAAAAGGAAAAAAAAAATCAGTAAGTAGATTTTAAATTTTCTAACCATTTACCTCAGTAACTTAGAAATATTTAGTAGCAAAATGATTTGTTCCTTTACCCGGGCTGCTTTCCAGGAGTTTATAAGAACCTACTAGAGTTCTTAAGCATAATCTGTGTAAGAAGTGAATGATGCATAATTTGGCTTCCTAATGATAAATTATGATTAACAAATGAAAATACAAGATTAGATCCAATAACAAACAATGGTTTAGATTATATATATATATTTTTTTTTTTTTTTTTTTTTTTTGGACAGGCAGAGTTAGACAGTGAGAGAGAGAGACAGAGAGAAAGGTCTTCCTTCCATTGGCTCACTCCCCAAATGGCCGCTATGGCTGGAGCTGCACTGATCCGAAGCCAAGAGCCACGTGCTTCTTCCTGGTCTCCCATGTGGGTGCAGGGCCCAAGCACTTGGGCCATCCTCTACTGCCTTCCCGGGTCACAGTAGAGAGCTGGACTGGAAGAGGAGCAACCGGGACAGAATCCGGCGCCCCGACCAGGACTAGAACCTGGGGTGCCGGCACCGCAAGCAGAGAGTTAGCCAAGTGAGCCATGGCGCCGGCCTAGATTATATTGTTTTAAAAACACTTCCATGGGGGGCTGGCACTGTGGCAAAGCAGGTTAAGCCACTGCCTGTGATGCTGCCATCCCATATGCTCACCCTTCAAGTCCCAACTGTTTCTATTCTGATCCAGCTCCCCACCCCCTTTTTTTTTTTTAAGATTTTATTTATTTATTTGAGAGGTAGAGTTACAGTGAGAGGGAGAGACAGAGAGAGAGGTCTTTCATCTGCTGGTTCATTCCCCAAATGGCCACAACGGCCAGAGCTGTGCTGATCTGAAGCCAGGAGCTTCTTTCAGGTCTCCCATGTGGGTGCAGGGGCCCAAGGACTTGGGCCATTTTCCACTGCTCTCCCAGGCCATAGCAGAGTCCAGCTTCCTTCTAATGCACCTGGGGAAGCAGTGTGAATGGCTCCAGTACTTCGGCCCTGGAGACCTGGATGAAGTTCCTGGCTTTGGTCTGGCTCAGTCCTGACCATTGCAGCCATTTCGGGAGTGAACCAGCAGATGGAAGATCTGTCTCTCCTCCTCTCTCTGTAACTCTCTGCCTTTGAAATAAACAAACAAACTCAATCTTAAAAAAAAAATAGACACAGAAATAAAATGTACATAGCTTTAGCAAAGCCTCCATGTCTCTGAAATAATCTTATCTTTGAGATGAGATGTTCTCAGGGAATTCAATGTTAACGACAGGGGCCAGTGTTGTGGCGTACCAGGAAAAGCCACCACCTGCAGTGCCGGCTTGTATGGGCACCACTTTGAATTTCAGCTTCTCTTCTTCCAATCCAGCTCCCTGCTAATGCACCTGAGAAAGCAGTGGAGGATGGCCCAAGTGCTTGGGCCCCAGCACCCACAGGGGAGACACAAGAAGATCCTGGCTTCCGACAGGACCAGCCTGACCATTGCCGCCATCTGGGGAGTGTCCCAGCAGATGGAAGAGCTGTCTCCCACTCTCTTGCTATAAATCTGCCTTTCAAATAAATAAATCTTTAAAGGGAACGTTAATGGAAGCGATAACTCAAAAAGTTAGCTCCACAATCCTATCACATTTTAATTTTTCTTAGCTACACAATATATTTTTACTGTTATAAACATACAGGGGAGGAAAAAATAGTGTTTTGCCAATATTTAATGCTAAAATTTAATGCCAAAAAGAAAAAAGTACATCTCTACTCTTCATCTGAATTTAATTCTCATTGGTCATTTGCCTCTTACTTTTAAGGTATGAATATGTAAATACAGAATGATTTCTCCAAATTTGAGGATTTTTTAAAAACAAAAAAAAAGATTTATTAGGGCTGGTGCTGTGGTGTAGCAGGTAAAGCCTCCACCTTCAGTTCTGGCATCACATATGGGTGGCCAGTTCGAGTCTTGGCTGTTCCACTTCCAATCCAGCTCCCTGCTGATGTACCTGGGAAAGCAGTGGAAGATGGCCCAAGTTCTTGGGCCCTTGCACCCATGTGAGACACCCAGAAGAAGCTCCAGGCTCCTGGCTTCAGATCAGCCCAACTCTGGCTGTTGTGGCTGTTTGGGAAGTAAACCAGCAGACGGAAGACCTCTCTCTCTCTCTGCAACTCTGCCTTTCAAATAAATATATAAATCTTTAAAAAAAAAAAAAAAAAAAACAAATTTATTTATTTGAAAGAGTTACACAGAGAGCAAGAGGAAGAGACAGAGAGAGATCTTCCACCCACTGGTTCCCTCCCCAAATGGCTACATCAGCCAAGGCTGGGTAAAGCCCAAGCCAGGAGCTTCTTCCAGATTTTCCAAGTGGGTGCAAGGGCCTAAGCATTTGGTCACCCTCTGCTGCTTTCCCAGGCCATTAGCAGAGAGCTGGATCAGAGTGGAGCAGCTGGGTCTCGAACCAGTGCCCATATGGGATGGCCAGCGCTGTAGGCAGAGGCTTTACTTGCTACGCCACAACACCGGCCCCCCAAATTGAGTTTTGAGATGAAATTGGGAAAAACGTCCCACCAGAAAAATCCCTCAAAAGTAAAACCCAAATACAAACAGTGGCAGGCATCTGGCAGAGCAGATAAAAGGCCAGCTGGGATGCCTGAATGCTGATTCAAAGAGCTTGGGCTCAAATCTCTGCTCCACCCCCAAGGCCAGCTTCCTGCTAACACACAACCTCAGAGACACCAGGTGATGGCTCAGAGAGTTGTGGGGGAACCTGGATTGAGTTCCCACCATCTGGCTTTGGGCTGACCCAGCCTTGGCCATTGTGGGCATCTGTGCTGTCCCAGTCTCTCTCAGTGTCTCTTTGCCTTTCAGACAAATTAAAAAATAAGATTTGGTCCCTAGGGTGGTACTACTGGCAGGTGGTGGAATTCTTAGGAGGTGGGGCCTCACAGGAGACCCTGGAGTGAGGTCAGTGGGGCTGTGCTCCATGGAGGTGGTCTTCATGTGACGTCCTGACTTCACACAAATGGATCAATGTCAAAGCCCGAGTTTGAGCCCACCCCCCTGCTTCCTGGCCTGCCAGGCAACCCGTCCTCCACAGAAGCTCTGCAATTACCTTCCGGACCCTCACCAGCTGCCCAATCTTGGACTTGCACCCCCGAATTTGTAAGCCTAAATTCTTTTTCTGTTTACAAAGTTAGTCGCCTGAGGGATTTTGCTGTGGTAACCAAAATCTAATACAACGTACACTGGACTTAGAGACACACTCTTATTACTCACCCTCAAAATATCCCCTGCGAGGGTTCCCCTACCAGGGCCCAGTTCCACCAGCTGGAAAGCTGCACTTTTTCCAGTGGCCATCCACTCACTAATGAACCATATCCCTAGCAGCTGTGACACAGAAAAAAAAATTAAAATATAAAGTATAAAAGTATACCACAAGATTCCACATAGTTACACACACTGTGCCCCCCCCCCCCCAAAATTTACAAACAACCATATCTAGGTTATTTAACATGGACATATTTGGATACACACACAGGAACTTCACAGGGGCCATGTGACAATACACACCATTAGAAGCTTAATAAAGGGATATAAAAGTCCCAGGACACAGGTAAGAAGATACCACTTATGGAAAGGTATTAGCATTTGAAAGCAAATATACATATATGAAATGGTATTATGCCATTTCTTCATATTCACCTGATTTAAATAATTAAGTGGCTCTTAGGTATACTTGGTTGTTTAATACCAAGGTTCTAACGCATCTTGTGCACTACCTGTTTCTAAATTCATCAAAGGTACTTCTGCTTCTTCCCTTCACCTGTCCCTCTCACCTCTCCATTACCTTTTCCAGAGTGAACTATCAACTTCTCAAATGTCCTCACCACCATGTGCCTTGCTCTATTGCCTTTCCATTTCCTCTGTATATGCTAAAAAGCCAAAACTGTGATCAATCAGTCTATAGGACAGTGACAGAAATACAATTTGATCTGCTCCCAAGCTACAGTATGAGTTTCTTTCATAATTTACATTGGATATTACCTCCCCAAAGATCTGACTTATTTCAGGTGAAGTAACGAAATCTCCTTTTTCTCCCAGCATGTCACGGTACACATAATATCCCTGAGTAAAAAGAGAAAACAAATTGATTTCAAAGAAGGCTTTTCAGACCACCTCCAAATTCTTACAATAATGTATATAATGAAATAATTGCCTAGCAGGAAACTTCTTTCTCTAAATACTGCTGAGAAGGATAAATATAGTGTCTTTACTTAAATTTTACAAATCAATCATTATCTTGCAGATCTGGTTTAAAAAAAAAAAAGTTACTCTGACTAAAGGTGGGAGTGCTGCACTCTATCCCTACACTCCACACCCTTCCTCCCTCCCCGCTCCCACAACCTAACACACTAACACCCTGCCTGCCCCTCCAGGCTCCTCTCCACAACCCTGACTTTCCATTTCTAACTAGCCTTGCCTACTGATAAGGTTCTGCCTTCTGCCCCGGGAGCTGGTTACATGAGAGTCTCCACTTGATGAAAACTCCTCGAGCTGCATGCTTGCAAGTTATACCGTTTTCTACGTAAGCATGCATCACAAATTAAAAGCTTTTCTTTTTCAAATAAGCTCCACTTGTCCACACATCCAGGTTATTAAAAGTCGCACCCTACTCCCTTCGTTTCTCCCTGGCAATCTTACACGCATCCTTTGAATCTACTCAAATCCACTTCCGCCAACCTCCTCCTCCAGTCCTCCAGCCTGTTCCAGGGCTTCCTTCCTGACCTGACTCATGCACCTGTGTTCTTCGCCAGAAAGAACAGTTCCCTGGGGGACAGGACTATGTGTCACTTAGCATCCTGGCCTGAATTTTCACAGAATGTCAAATCTCCAAAAAGCACTGACAACTCTGTTAAACAAGCCCCTCACTCCAGCACCTCACTCTCTGCTGTGACACAGGCTCCGGTTCCCAGGCAGGAAGGGAGAATGTTATACAAGCATACTTCCTCAGCTTCCCACCTGCCCCTGTTCTCACCGAGGAACTCACCAGGGTGAAATCCCTGCACCTTCCCTTCTGACCCACTCCTAACCCCTGCACTGTGCTGAGTTGCCATCTTCACTCAACATCTTATCATCTCATTCTTACCATCTCTCTTCTGTGACAGCTTCACCATTTCCCCCTCAGCATTAAAACAAATCAAGGGGCCAGTGCTCTGGTGCAGTGGGTAAAGCCACTGCCTGCAGTGCCAGCATCTCATATGGGCACCAGTTTGAGTCCCAGCTGTTCCACTTCTGATCCAGCTCTCTGCTGTGGCCTGGGAAAGCAGTAGAAGATGGCCCAAGTCCTTGGGCCCCTGCATCTGCGTGGGAGACGCAGAAGAAACCCCAGGCTCCTGGCTCCAGCCATTGCAGCTATTTGGAGAGTGGGCCAGCAGATGGAAGACTTCTCTAACTCTGCCTTTCAAATAAATAAATAAATCTTTAAAAAAAGAAATCAACTCATTCCTATCTTAAAAATATTGCTTTCCACTCCACACAGCATCTCCCTTCTAGTTGTCCTCTTTTCCTTCATAGGTCAGCATTTCAGGAGTGTCCAACTCCTCCATGTGGTACAAACCACTGCAGTAGCTTAGTGAAGCCTACAGTAGATCCTTTCATAAAATGTTTTTATATGCACAGAACTTAAAACACACAGAATGACAGAAGAAATCAACTGAATATTTATCAAGTGTTTAAAGGTATGATATAATGAAAGGTTATATATATACTTCTTTACAAGTATTTTAAAAAACAAAATCAAGCCCATGCCGCGGTTCACTAGGCTAATCCTCCGCCTTGCGGCGCTGGCACACCGGGTTCTAGTCCCGGTTGCCCCTCTTCCAGGCCAGCTCTCTGCTGTGGCCCAGGAGTGCAGTGGAGGATGGCCCAAGTGCTTGGGCCCTGCACCCCATGGGACACCAGGAGAAGTACCTGGCTCCTGCCATTGGATCAGTGCGGTGCGCCGGCCGCGGCGGCCATTGGAGGGTGAACCAACGGCAAAGGAAGACCTTTCTCTCTGTCTCTCTCTCTCACTGTCCACTCTGCCTGTCAAAAAATAAAAAATTAAAGTTAAAAAAATCAAGCTAAAGACCTAATGATTAATGAGGTTTTTGAAGTAGAAATGAGCACAGTGGTACTTTGAGAAGCCTGTGATGACCACTGTATTGTGACGATATCAGATGTACTGCAATAGTATCAGCAATTTTCACTGATGACAAAGTCACAGATATTGCTCATTACCTGAGTTCATAACAGAAGAAATGCTAAATTTCAGTTGTAAGTCAATAAAAATAATGGCATAAATTTTTTCCCATCCAAGTTCATGAGGCCAATCATTTCTATCAAGAGTCTCTTGGGTAAGGACCCCAACTCTAGGGACAGCATTGTGGTACAATGGGTTAAGCCACTGAATGTGATGCTGGCATCCCACAGGAGTGCCAGATCCAGTCCCAGCTGCTCCACTGCTAATCCAGTTCCCTGCTAACGCACCTGGGAAAACAGTGGAAGACAGCCCCAGTGTTTGGGCCCCGGCAACCGTGTGGGAGACACTGATGGAGTTCCAGGTTCCTGGCTCAGCCTCAGCCCCAGCCTTAGCAGTTGAGATCACTTAGGAAGTAAGCCAGCACCTACCTCTCTCACACCTTGCTTTCAAATAAATAAATCTTTGTCAGACCTCAATCGTGAATTCCGGACTTATTCCAAATCTTACTACTGGGAGGCCTGCCTTTTTGTAGGTCCTTTCTCCCTGGTTCTCTGCCATTTAACACCATGTACATACTGATGACAACCAAATTTACTCATCTCCAGTCTTTCCTCTGGATTCCACCCTTTTTTAAAGATTTATTTATTTTATTTATTTGAAAGACAGAGTTACAGAGAGAGGTAGAAGACAGAAAGAGAAGTCTTCCATCCGATGGTTCACTCCCTAATTGGCCGCAACAGCCGGAGCTGTGCTGATCCAAAGCCAGGAGCCAGGAGCCAGGAGCTTCTTCTGTGTCTCCCACGTGGGTGCAGGGGCCCAGGGACTTGAGCCATCTTCTACTGCTTTCCCAGGCCATAGTAGAGAGCTGGATCAGAAGAGGAGCAGCTGGGACTAGAACCAGCGCCCATATGGGATGCTGGTGCTTCAGGCCAGGGCTTTAACCCGCTGGGTCACAGCGCCAGCCCCTTGATCTATTTATTTGAAAGGCAGAGTTACAGAAAGGGAAAGAGAGAGAGAAAGAGAAAGAGAGAAGTCTTCCATCTGCTGGTTCACTTCCCAAAGAGCCGCAAAGGCCAGAGCTAGACTGGTCTGAAGTCAGGAGCTTCTTCCGGATCCAGAGCCAGGAGCCAGGAGCTTCTGTGTCTCCCACGTGGGTGCAGGGGCCCAAGTACTTGGGCCATCCTCCTCTGCTTTCCCAGGCACATTAGCAGGGAGCCAAATCAGAAGTAGAGCAGCCAGAACTGGACCCAAATGGGAAGAAGCAGGCAGTAGCTTTACCTGCTAGGCCACAGTGCTGGCCCCTGAATTCCACGCTTAACAGTCAACTGCCCCCTTACTATCTCCACCTGAATATCATTGCCATCACAGTATGCGTAAGACTCAGCACCTGATATAGATCCTTTTCTCAGGACTCCTACAAACGTAATCCTCTTGTCTCAATCTCAACACCAAAAACACGACCATCACCCAATCAATTGCTCAAGCTAAAAATCCAGAAATCAGTCATGAATCTACCTTTTCTTTCACCCTGCCACACCAATCCACTAGCAAACGCCGTCACCCACTTGTCACCCCATTTCCACTACCACCACACTAGGTGAGGCCTCCCCCTCACAGCCATTGCCCACAGGCATTAAAGACCCCTGCCTTTAACACACCCCTGGGCGCAGGAGTCACTCCACCACATCCAACTGCAATAGGCCAACCCAACCCCAGAATTCCCCATGTCACATCTCAACCCAGCAACACGTGAGATATTCCAAACTAAAGGGCTACAGGCTTTCCCCAAATGCCTCCGTAGGGCTTGCAGGTCAGAAAGCTGCGACTCTGCTTCACCCTAGAACACTAACGACCGTGACCCCCCACTCTCAGGAAAACCAGAATACAACACGCTTCCGAATCCCGACACAGGCAGCATTCCAGGCAGCTGGTCTCCCCCTCCGCACTTCCTTCTCCAACAGCGACGATGCACCATGCACCAGCAGCACTGCAGGAAAGTCATCCGCCCCTCCCCACAGAAACCCGAGCGGCTTCACTCTGCTTCTGAAACACCCTTGGAGCTTGCCCTCTGCTCTCAGGCGCTGCCGCCGACGTGACCCAGCCCTGACGACTGACAGATTAATTTACCCACTCCCACGTCTTCGGGGATGGCTCTTCCCTAGGTACCCCCGAGCGCGGCTGCGGACCTTCAGGCCTCCCTGCCTTGACCCCACCTTGCAAACCTGCCGGCACCGGCCGATCCTTAGGCTCCCCGACCCATACCTTGGCTGGATTGGTCAACACCTCCTTCATGTACTCGGCCACAGTGATGGGGCCAGTGGACTTTATTTTATACACCAGATGCCGCAGCATTGGCGTCGTCGGGTTCTTTTCTGCCCGCTCATTCCCAGTGCAAAAGCATTTCCCTCTCCAAAGACAGGGAAAGACTGGGGAAGAAAACAGATTAAACAGGTCCATTGAGAATATCAGTCTTCACACGAGCAAGCACCTTTCAACCCAACTTCGTTAACCCTTACCCCACAGGCTGACTCCGTGCGGAGGACGCCCAAGCGCGTCGAGACTTCTCCCCCCACCACGCAGCCCCCCGGCGTCTGCGGCCAGACTCCTCTCCACCCAGAGTGCCTCAAGCTGGATGTGAGCGTCCGGACCCCAGAAGCCCCCAGCTGAAGAACTGGGACAGAACCCCAAGTAGTACGGGTTCTGCAGCACTGACACTTACCCCCGCGCGCCGCAGAGCACAGCCAAGCCCGACCGGACAGCAGCAGGACGCTCATGCCGAGCTCGGCTGCCCGGGGACGCACCGCCCCGGGGGGTGGGGATTGCAGCCATTTCCGGGAGAGAACACGCCCCCTGCAGGAAGTACGTCACGGGACAAGCGGAAGTGAGCTGTGGCGCTTGCGTGCGCGGCGCGTTGGTCATGGCTGCCCCCAAGGCGCGTTTGGAGTTCCACGCCAAGCGGCCCTGGCGCGGGGAGGAAGCAGTGGGCGATCCTGACGAAGAGGACGAGGATGATAGCGGAGAAGCCGAGAATGGGTTCACCCTGGAGGAAGTGTTACGGCTCGGAGGCACCAAAGTAAGGGCCGGAGGGCCCCAGGGGAACGGGGACTGGGGCCGGGGAAAGCCCACCGCTCGCGCCGAGAGGGAAAGGAATCCTGGACCACCCAGCCGCGGAATGTGCTTGTCGCATTTCCAGCACTTCTCTCCACTGCCTTTTACGAATCGAACCCTTCAGGTTGATCTTTTATGCCTTTTTCGGGTAGTGGACTATCCTCCCCTTCTGTTGACGTGAAACATCCGTCACTTCATCTGGTCGGAGAGAACGGACTTTCCCCGGTCCTGACCTCGCGGCGTGAATGTTTTCAACGCCAGGGATGCTCGTTTCTGTTAGTGCTCTGGGCCGCTTAAGAGTGAACCAGGAGGATGAGAGAGGACGGACGGTACCGTTTGAAGTGACTTGATCGGGGCCGCATCACCGAGGTGTTTTAGCAAGAACCTGAAGGAGAAGTAGCGTGCAGTCTAGTCAGATGGCACAGCGAATGCAGGGAGGCGGGAGTGTCTGACATGTCCCCTGAGCGGTGCAGATGCCGCGTAGCTGAAGCAGGGTGAGGTAAGGAGAGAGTAGCAACAAATAGGCTCAGGAGTAAGAGGGCCGGCTTTTGCTGTAAATTTGATGCGAAATCTTTGCGAGATGTTTAAGCAAATACATGATAAGATTTGGCTTTTTTTTATATATATATACTCTTGTGAGTGAAGGCAGGTTAGAGGCAGGACCAATGCAGCCTACACAGTGTGCTCTGGACTTGGGTTATATATAATGTTTTAGTAGGTGATATAAAAACAGGAAACAAAAATTATAGGAGGAAAGAGTTATGTGGTGAAAAGCCTCCTTTCCCACTTTTATCTCTAAACAGGCATTTCCCTTCTGGGGAACACTTATTTCTTCAAGTGCGTTTTTTATCTTCTATGAATATTCTGTACCTCTCCAAGCAAATACACAGTTACATATGTAATATATATATATATATATGTGTTGTGTTTTACACAGATAGTACCATGGTGCATAGAGCTACCCATATTTTGCATCTAACCAGCCATTTATTGTGGATTTTAAGTTGTTGCCAGTCTTTTTGTTATTTTAAGTAATACTATAGTGAATAATGTTAAGCATATTTCCCCCCATTTCTAGGGATATGTGTGATCTAAATTTGTAGAAATGAAACTACTGGATCAAAGGATGTGTATGCTCTGAAGTTGGTAAACTGACCTCTTTAGAGGTTGTGCCAGTTTACACTCATATCATCCATGTATGAAAGTACCCTTCCTCCCACACCCTCCCCCTAACCACCTGTCATAATTTTTATGTAGCATTGTTTCAATTTGGATAACCGAAAATTTGTAGTTTTTTAGAACAGTTTTTCCTACGAACTGTTCATCTCTATATAATTTTCCATTGGGTTGTCACTTTTTTTTTTTTTTTAAGATATGTTTATTAGAAAGACAATGACAAATGGAAAGTGAGAGACAGAAAGAGATCTTGCATCTCCTGGTTCAGTCCCCAAATGCCCATGACAGCCAGAGTTAGGCCAAGCTTGAGCAAGGAGCCGGGAACGCAAGCCAGGTCTCCCAGGTGGGTGACTTGGGTCATCATCTGCTTCTCCCAGGGGCATTAGCTTGAAGCTGGATCAGAATAGGAAGCAGAGTTTGATCCCAGGCACTCCGGTGTGGGAAATAGGCATCTCAGACAGCTGCTTCATGCCCTGTACCATAACACTTGCCTCTGTTTGCCACTTTCTTATTGATGTCTAGGAGCTTTCATGTTAAGCCAAATTTGATAGGAGTAGCTGGTATTTTTTATATTTACCTTTTGATTTTTCTGTCCCTTTTGTGTGTGAGAAAATAATGAACATACTGATGCTTTGCTTTGTGGGCCCTCATGTCAGATATGAAAATGCTTTCCCTGTACTGAAATTATTTTGTTAGTTATGTGGTGCTTTCTTCCATTATTTTATGGCTTTATTTACATTTAAACCTTTCATCCATGAAGTATTTGGGAGTAGAGCGGCAGCCCAAGTATTACCATAATTCAATTTCATTAATTTAAAAGAAACTGTTGGGTTTTCTTAAAATATAGCTTTAACTTTATGTTTTTGTGCAGCAAGATTACCTTATGCTGGCTACTTTGGATGAGAATGAAGAAGTGGTGGATGGAGGCAAAAAAGGAACAATTGATGACCTTCAGCAGGGTGAATTGGAAGCATTTATTCAAAATCTTAGTTTGGCCAAGTATGCAAAATCTTTAATTGAAGAAGATGCACCAGTTGAAAAAGAAAGTACCAGCAAAAGAGAAGTGAAAGTATCTAAAGTTGATAATAAAAAGCAAAATCAAACCAAAAGTGAAAAGACATCCATCAGTAAGGTAAAAAATAAGAATAAACCAGAATGTTCTAATGAGAACAAAAGTACCACACCAAAAGTAAAGAAAGATAAACAACAGGACATCTTTGAGTTTTCTGAGAGACAGACATTGTTACTTAAGCCTGAAGGCAAATGGTATGATCTGGAGTATAGCAATGAATACTCTTTGGAACCCCAGCCTCGGGATGTTGTGTCCAAGTACAAAACCCTGGCTCAGAAGCTGTATGAGCATGAAATCCACTTATTCAAAAGTAAAACAAACAATCAAAAGGGAGGCTCTTCTACCTGGATGAAGGTAATTGTGTCATCAGGGACGCTAGGTGACAGAATGGCAGCCATGATTCTTCTTATTCAGGAGGATGCTGTTCATACGCTCGAGTTTGTAGAAACTCTGGTGAACCTTGTTAAAAAGAAGGGCAGCAAACAGCAATGCCTCATGGCTTTGGATACGTTCAAAGAGCTACTCATTACAGACCTTTTACCGGACAGTCGGAAGCTCCGCATTTTCAGCCAGCGTCCTTTCAGCAAACTAGAACTGCTGTCCAGTGGCAACAAGGACTCAAGAGATAGAAGACTGATATTATGGTATTTTGAACACCAGCTGAAACACTTAGTAGCTGAATTTGTGCAGGTTTTAGAAACTTTAAGTCACGATTCCTTAGTAACCACTAAAACTCGAGCCCTTCTAGCAGCACATGAGCTGCTTTGTAACAAGCCGGAGGAAGAAAAGGCGCTGCTTGTGCAGGTGGTAAATAAACTGGGAGATCCTCAGAACAGAATAGCCACCAAAGCCTCTCATCTGTTAGAGACTTTACTTTGTAAACATCCCAATATGAAAGGAGTTGTGTGTGGTGAAGTAGAAAGGCTACTGTTTCGCTCGAATATCAGCACCAAAGCTCAATATTATGCAATTTGTTTTTTAAATCAAATGGCCCTCTCCCATGAAGAAAGTGATTTGGCTAGCAAATTAATAACTCTTTATTTTTGTTTTTTTCGGACTTATGTCAAGAAAAAAGATATTGAGTCAAAGATGCTTAGTGCCCTTTTAACAGGTGTGAATAGGGCATACCCTTATGCCCAGGCTGGTGATGATAAAGTGAGGGAGCAGATTGACACGCTGTTTAAAGTGCTGCATGTTGTGAATTTTAACACCAGCGTGCAGGCTTTAATGCTGCTTTTCCAAGTGATGAATTCTCAGCAGACAATATCAGATCGATATTACACAGCATTATACAGGTAAGTACTAAGCATTCCAATATATGAATGTGAAGAAAAACTTGAGTATAGGACATGCAGTGACCCTCTGTGGGGCAAGAGAAAAAGTTCGAAAACTGATTTCAGACCCTTCTTAGCAACTTGCTACTCACCAACATTAAGTAACTTGTTCTTTGTTTCCTTGATGAACACAAACTATATTAGATGGTTTGAATACATTGTTTTCTATTTTGAGAAGCTGTTGAAATACCAAAAAGTATCCATGCCACCTGATATCCAAAGTTAACTTCTTGCTCTATTTTAAATCTTCTGGAATGCTAAGTAAAATAGGTCTGCAGGTGTAAGTGAAGCTTCTGTATCCTCATTTCTGTATCTCCGCCCTCCTGTCCTTCACACAGCCATTTAGTAATTCATTCAGCAAGCATATTTGGATGCTTCCCTGGGCTGCCCATGTGCCACATGCTCAGGATGTGACAGCTGAACAAAAGTCCCAACCCCTAGAAGCATTAACAAATTATGTCAGATGCAGAGTGTTGGAGGTTGCAGTTGAACAGGGAGGTTAAGATTTTATTTGCTGAACATGGCAGTTGTAACTCACCCATTGAAGTATGATATTTTTGAGCAATGTGCAAATCCTTCAGAACTATTCAAGTACACCAACAAGTTATGTTCAAGAATTTATTTCCTTGTAATTCACTTATATAAGTTTACATATCTGTAGCAAGTGAGAAAATGTAAAGTGGTAGATAATATCTTAGACTTAAACCATCAACTTGGTTTGAGTCCTGGCCATGAGTTTGCTATGTAGCTTTGAGCAAGTTACTTAATCCTCTTTAAAAACCCTATTGGTAGGCCCCAGCGCCGTGGCTCACTTGGCTAATCCTCGTGTGGCGCCAGCATCCCATATGGGCACCAGGTTTTAGTCCCGGTTGCTCCTCTTCCAGTCCAGCTCTCTGCTTTGGCCCCAGGAAGGCAGTGGAGGATGGCCCAAGTGCTTGGGCCCTGCACCCGCATGGGAGACCAGGAGGAAGCACCTGGCTCCTGGCTTCGGATCAGAGCAGCGCTGGCCTTAGCGGCCATTTGGGGAGTGAACCAACAGAGGGAAGATCTTTCTCTCTCTCTCTCTCTCTCTCACTCTTACTCTCACTCTCACTCTCACTGTCTAACTCTGCCTGTCAAATAAATAAATAAAAAATCTTATATAAAAAAAAAAAAACCCTACTGGTAGAGGC